AGAGTCTCTCTGTCCTCGTTTTAATCGGACGAAAATAAGATAAAAATTTAGTCGAACAAGAGTGTCGAACATGTACCATTACAAAAATTTGTCGAATCTCTCGCGAATTTTATGAATTTTTTAGATTCCCAGCCGAGAGCGACGAGAGGAGAATGTGCGGTGGCTGGTATCGGAGTTTGGATACGGTCGTCATAACCGCGATCCTCGATAATAGGGTTAAATCGGCGGAAATTTATGGCTGGTCCCTCTGTATACGCGATTCATGTTCCGTAAAAAAAACGGCAAAAAAGAGGAAAAAAAACGACAAATCGACGTAAACCGGCGGCGAGCGCACGATCAAATTCATTATGTTCGCATATTTTGTGCAGCGAGAGGCCAGAATGTGCCGAAAGTTTACGTTAAATTAAGCAGCCGTTGCTACGCGGCCTTATTGCGGAATGCGTTCACATGGGAAGGACGAAATCGCTCGGTATCGGGTCGTTAAAAGGCAATTTGTTAAAGCGGTCCTTTCATAGGGTTGCCGTAACACGCGAAGGCATTTTCCTTCCCTTTATCCCCCGAAAAAAAAAAAGGAACACTCGGGGAAGGCGAAGAAAGGTGTTCAACGTCGCGAAAGTTACGTGATGCAAAACCCTAAATGTCCTCTACGTATCGCGCTGCACATCGGCATGCTTAAGGACAATTTCCTGCAACATTTCTTGTATGTATTTCTTTATCCTCACACAATGTCACGCTAGGATATTTTTTAGAGAGAGAAACTCGAGAGTGACGTTTGCGATTTAATGCGACAACTGCATAATATGGCGTAAAATAGATGTGTCTCCTGGAAATTGACGATCTCCTTTTAGAGATAATTTAATAATTCGGGTAAAATGACAGATGAAAATTATTCATTTAAAAATATCTACTCTAGTGAGATATTATTAACATTTAATTCGAGAATTATATCGCGATAGAATATTAAACGGTATTACATTGAAATCGTGTTTAAGCAAAATCCTAATATAATTTATATAAGAGCTAAAAAAGAGAACGAGAGAGAAAGAGAGAGAGAACACTATACGTATTTGTGTAGGCGCGTGAGCACTCGTATTTTATATTAAATCAAGGCCGTCCCGCAATGGTTGGAAAAAAATGACGAATCGTAGCCCGTATTCCGGATATTAAAGGCCGGGGCTTCATCGCAGCTCCGGCAGTTTTATAATAAAATAACAGGCACAGGGGACATTTATTAAGGAAGTTGTTCGACGTCTCTCGCGACGCTGCAAGGCATTCACGTGAAAAAACTATGATACGGATAAGCAAACTCGATAGATTTTTATACCAACCATTCCATCGCTATAATTGTTTTTTTTTTAAATATAAACAAATAAATATTGTGAAAATACGTAAATGAAAATCAAATTTCATATTTATTTAAAAATTTATAAAGCAATGGAATGTTTAATATAATACATATATATATATATTTTTTTTTTTTAATTTTTATATGTAATGTATATAAATAATAAAATATATCGAAAATTATCCATTTTTATAGAGAAATGTAAGTATATATTTTCCAGAAATATTTTTATCGATAATTATTTCCGTAAAAAAATAAATACCGATATTACGACTATATAGATTATAGTATAACAATTTGCCATGTTTACAAAAACAAAAATGGAGCATATATTTATTTGCAATAAATTTCTTTACGGAACAAATTATTTATAAAAACACTCCGGATATTCGATATGAAAGTTATCCGTCACTACTGGAAGTGAAAAATTGAATTCCGCAAAAGAGAAGCTCTGGGATATGGAGCATAATGCAATCAATTATGTTTACGACCGGAATAGATTTCTGCCAACGAAAAACCAATAATATCATTAGCCCAACGATACTCGATTTCTGTTTAACGCGAAAATATCATTCCAGACAATTGCGTTAACTTTGACGCCGCAAATTAACGATTCAACTATTGTTCAGCTTTATTTTTGGAATAAAATATGTCGGTCAAAATATCTCGAAGCGCGCTACGTGACTCAATTCTTGATTTATTAATACTTTTTAAACATTAAACATATTCTAAATATATGTGTGTATGTATATATATCGTACACTCACATTTCTTTCTGATATGATAATAATATCTCCAATTCCATCTCCTTTATAAAATCTTGTTTTCACAAATCTGATCTATGTCGGGACTTTGCGATAACGTAGCTTTTGCGGATAATTTAGCGTAAAAGTGTCAAATGGAGCGCATCGCCACCGGCCGAAAAGAAAATGATATCGATATAATTTAATGGAGGTTCCTGATATATAACATGTGCCTTTTATATAAATACGATATAAATAAAGCGCATAAAACTTCTTTTGACTCCTACAATTTTATCGCTACGAATGATCTCTATTAATGTCTTCAAAATTCAAATGTACAATGAAGAGAAATTTGTAGATTGTGGGTGAAATTAAAAGTCTTTTCAATTTGCATATTATTAAACGAAGAGAAAGGCTTCCTCCGACTCTTTATTAGTTAAATTTTAGCTTCGATTCGCCTAATTCAATTTAATAGAGTTCTTAGTTCTGGAAATGCTCTTGGTTTTTCCTAACGCGCTATCGTCCTACTTGCACGTAAGAAAATATGGCCATCCCGCCGGAAGCTACATAAGCCAGTTTCCTTCGTCTACGCGATTCGCGAACGTAACGAAGCGCAGGAATTATTTCTTATCCCTGTCGTTCCAGAAATTGCACGACGCGGTCACGGGCGTCGGGAGAGGCGCCCCCGGAGTTTCTCCGGTTTTCCATAGATCCCGGGAGAAAAAGTCCGGCCTCGAGAAATATCGCTTTATTATACTTTTCATAGAACTCTTGTTACCAAGGCGGAAAATGTTACCGTGCACTATTAGCGAAATAATTGAGATAATCATCCAGAAAAGCAAAGAAAAGTTGAAAAAAATTCGCGACGACGCTCATGGTTCGCGTTTTATTTCTCCCTTTCTGCCACCTGCGCTTATCCATCCCTTGTGCTTATCCCCTGTGCTTGTCCACCGTAAAGGCAACAATCAAAAGTACATTTTCACTTAACCCCAGTTGTATTGAAAGTTTTAAGGCGCTTTAAAGCGGTTTCGCGTTTCTTCGTATATATTTCGTCATATATAGATGTTTTCCGTTAAAATTTGTAGAGCTTGACTCTCGGAGTCTTGTGTGTCGAATAGAGAGTTAAAAAGAACTTTGTCGCTTTTACTTTCTTCAATTATAATAAAACCTTGTACGAGGCTTCACTAATGGGGTTATTCACTCCCATCAAATTCAGGCAAGATTTGAACGAGCATGTTCTTTCACACATATTACTGGGAGAAGACACACTGCTCGCAGATATAATGCTTTAATGCGCGGGTAGGTTCGTTATCCCTCATGCCACTCTCGAGAGTGCATATGAACGCATTTGAAAAGGATACTTTCGCTATTTCGGAGTGCACTATAACGAGATTCCATTATATTCATACTATTCGCAAGGTCGGACTTACAACGATGACATATGATTCGATTAATTTAATTCCACAGATTGAAAAAAAAATATTGATTCTTTGAAAAGAGAAATTACAATAAATTACAGATTTTTCTGATAGCTTCAATAATTGTTTGTTGTTTCCATTTTTACTGTCTCTCCAATCTTTATCTTTTTCTATTTTAAAAATACATTATTAATTGTTGACCGATATTTTTCCACAATATTTTCTCTGTATGAGAGAATAATGTCATATTTTTCGCGTAAAAGAAAATTTCAAATAAAACAATTTAGCTCGCTGAGAGAAACGACACTATTATTCGAATAAATATTTGATTCGTCTTCGCGAACAAGTACGATCAAGAAATTAATACTTTGTTTATAAACGTTATGGCTGTCGTCGTCGTTCGCAACCACCTGTTTATCTGGCGTTATCGTCATCATCCTCTTCTTCTCGAGTTCCGTCGACGCGTTTGCCGCAGATTCCCTATCTTCTTCTTCTTCTTCTTCTTCTTCTCTCTCTCTCTCTCTTTTCCTAAAGTATATACGGTATATTCTATGGATTACATACTATTCACGCAGAATATTTCTTTGGGAAAGAGAGACACGACACGTATCGCGCGCGTCTTCGCCCAGCTTCTCCCGCGGCTCCTTTGATCTTCTCTCCCTCTTGGAGTGATGTCATTCGGACGTCGCGTATCTCGCAAAAGGGGATCGCGATCTTCCCGTCGCGCGCATGGGCTTTGTCGTTTATTCGTCGGAAACGCGTCTCGAGCGATTCGTCGTGAATTTTTGAACGAAACATTTGTGAGAGAGTTGATCCAAACAGCAATGTTACTGCTATATACGAATACACTTCCATTTTCCGAAATTTTCTATTTCAAGATAACGTAAGCATCCAGAAAAATGATACATAGAAATATGAGCTATAAAATTTTATATTTTATTCCTTTATACATATCATACGTTTTTTTATTACTTTATTTGTTTCAATTTAATGTGTTTTATTACTGTGAATTTTTTAAATTTAATTGCATTAGATTTTGAAAATTATTTTGACACATAGCGCATTCACACATATAACTGTTAAGTTTAGTGCATCTGTATATATTTCTAAAGTTGAGGAATAAATTTATCGTTAATTATTTAAATGAATTATAGAAATTTTTAAAAATTAATGTAGAAACTTAATAAAAAATTATATATATACTAATTTATTTAAAATTCAGAAAAAAAATATATTAGAATATGTTGCACCGGATAATCTTCACTCTTAATTTATCTCGTTTTATTTTCAATTACTAACTGTTATTACTCCTCCACGTAGTTTTCTCAATTATATCCCTAAATGTTCTAAAAATACGAAAATGCCGCTACTCCAATTATTCTTGTCTAATTTGCTTAAGCAAGATTTCTCACGTGTGCTGAAAGTCTCGTCCGCTTGCGTAAATACACACTTTTACTTTTCTCTAATCTACCTGTGTTATACCTGTGTTTGCAGTAACAAACGGTCTGAGGATGCTGCAGCTGATAGTGCCCAAGCACGTGGTGCTCGGAGATACTATACGCCTCGAGTGCAACTTTAATCTGGACAAAGAGAAGCTGTATTCGGTCAAGTGGTACAAGGACGGCAACGAGTTCTACCGATACGTACCCGAGGAAAAACCACCTGCTATGTCCTTCAATCTTCCCGGGGTTACGGCGATCGTAAGGCTATACTTCCTCTCGTCTCTCGCGCTTAAGTTTCGATAAAGAAATCCCGGGGTGAGAGGGGGGAAAGAGGGAAGGGGAAAGGAAGGAAGCAAAGTAAGTCCGTAACTTGTAGGGTCTACCTTTCGAGAGAAGACGACCTTAATAATATTAAAATAGATCTTACAAACGAAGACTTTCCTCGACACTCGCATTTTGCGGTATTTTGCGAAACGAAACTGAAGAGGTCAGTTGCAACAACAACGTAAATTCAGTAGTTTGTACAAGTTCTACTTTGCGACCGCACCTTCCCGTTTACACAGCCACGAGACTTCCCTCGTTCTTGTCCCAAATCTTTATACAGTTTCCGCGTTTTCTCGCCCAACGTGCGGACGATGGTCGATCCTAACGGATTTTACATCGCGTCTTAAAGGCGAACGGATGTGATTGAAGAATCCCGGGAAAGATTCTGCGAACTGTTCGGTATTTTCATTTTGCGCTTTCGCTCGAAACCTCAGTGCTGCGCGTCTCGGATAAAGAAGTTTCCGTGAGAATTGTACCACGATTGATCCATTTTCTCTCACGTACAAACTCGAGATTCTTGGAGACGAAACGTCTCGATCGCGAGGTCAACCAAAATCCAAGACTCTCGACAAAACGGTAAAACCATATCTCGTCTCTGCCACCATATTTGTATCTTTTAAAAATAAATCGCGCGTTGTGCTCGCTCGGATGTTTTTCCAATTGGAAAACAAATAGAAAGGTAAAACGCGTGGACTACTAGCTCGAGAATACATCCGAGTTATCGACAACTGAAATTCGATACATGTGTACACGTAACAGGAGCGATGGAGACGGTAATAAAAATAGATGCGGGTTTGGTAGTAATAGAGAGTAAAAGAGAGAGACAGAGAGAGAAAAAAAAAGAGAGAGATCGATAAGCGGCGCATTTTCAAAATTCTATTTTGAAATTTCCACTAGAAAAATAAAAACATCCATGCGTACCGCGCCATATTCATGAAAAAAATCACCCTTTCCTTATTTAAGTAAAATAGGTATCGCACAGTATACGGAGGAGATAGAAATTTCCATTTTCGACACTCGTGATCAAAATGGCTTTTCATTCATGTCAAGACGTCAGATTAATGCCTGCATTACGCGCGCAAGCAGCGGATAAACAAAGGCGGGGCGACCGCGCGATCTCTCCGTCATAATGAGCCTTAATATTAACATTAATCACCGGTCGCGAGATTGGCGCTTGCGAGCGCCCTTAGAAATTATCGGCCTCTAGCCGTGGCGGTCGTTATCGTTGTTTATAATTACATCGATTAGTATAATGAATCGTGAAATGCGCCGTGCTCCTGCCGCTCGCGGAGATGAAAATTGCGGGGATGCCGACGACGGGATGACCCCCGGGCTCCGCGTTCTTCGCGAAACTAATTTAACATGAGGCGGAAAGGGGGAGGGAGGGTACTGTTGTTCGTTAAGCTCGCGTCGTCGTCACGGGCGCGTCTGAAATTGCCTTTCGTCGTCGTCGTCATCGTCGTTGTCAACGTCGCCGCAAAAGATAACGCATTACAAATTGATCCCTAGAGGAAGACTCGCTACCCCCTCCCCCATAGCCGAGCCGCGCGTCCTCCCTCTTCTGGGCTAATGATATTTCCAATAATTTCAATTCCTCGTCGACTATATCACTCGCTCGGCTTTCCGCACCATTGAGTGATGCGAAAAAATTCTGCTCTTCTCGGCGACGCGAAAACTTTCGGAAAAGAACGCGAGGTGTATAGGATCGAGCGATGATAATTCACCAATGGGGAAATTGTTGGAGAGTAGCTCGTTTCGCGCGAAAGACGAATATACAGTATTAGACAAAATAAATCATACACCTTTCAACAAATTGAATTTGTTAGTATAACTATTCTTTTAACAAGCAAGTAGATTATTAGATATAGGAAAGCATTTCAAAGTATTTAAATAAAGAAAATAGGAAATAATAAAAATTGTGCTCAATTATTTTGTAAAAAATTGATTATTCAATATTGTTACATTTTGCCCTGGACAAAATAAATCATACACTTTTAGAAATAATAGTTAACAAATAAATAAAGTTAATTCTAATGGTGATTATTTCGACTAATGTCTTTAAGTATTCAGGATCAATTTCCTTCTGGAGTGTTGCATAGGACGATGTCTTGTCACTTACGTTCGTTTTATTCACGTTCACGTCCAAATAAGACCACAAAGTTTCAATTGGATTAAATCTTATGATTGTGGCAGCCATTCGACCAGTTTTATCTTATTAGATTTGAAAAATGCAGTGGTTTTCTTCGTCTTATGCTTAGGTAGGGTCATTATCTTGCTGGAAAATAAAGTTGTTTTCTAAATCCAATTTCAAAAGAGATTCTTTCAAATTCTCGCACAATACATCAATATATCCTTCTGCCATCATGATGCTTTCAATTCGAGCCAAAATACCGATTTCGGACCATGTAAAGCATTCCCATATCATAATATTACCGCCTTCATATTTTGCAGTCTTTTGAATAAAACCGATTCGAGTTTGCCAAGAAGTACGCGAATATGTCTCTAGACTTTTGCAAAAAAGGATTGTGGTCTGATGAGAGCAAGTTTAAATTATTTGGACAAAAACGATGGTCTAAGGTGTGGCGAAAACCTGGTGAGGCTTTTAAAGAAATAAATATTCAAAAGACTGCAAAATATGGAGGCGGTAATTTGGTTCGAATTAAATTGAAAGCATAAGGATATATTGATGTATTGTGTGAGAATTTGAAAGAATCTCTTTTGAAATTAGGTTTAGAAAACAACTTTATCTTCCAGCAAGATAATGACCCGAAGAATAAGGTGAAGAAAACCGCATTTTTTTTCAAATCTAATAAGGTAAAACTGATCGAATGTGGCCGCCACATCAGATTTAATCCAATTGAAACTACGTGGGCTTCTTTGAACGTGAACGTGAATAAAACGAACGTGTGTAACAAGACATCGTCCTATGCAACACTCCAGAAGGTTCGGAAGGAAATTGATCCTGAATATTTAAAGAAGTTAGTCGAAAGTATGCCTCGCCGACTGAAAGCAGTATTGAAAGCCAAAGGTAACCATACCAAGTACTAATCACCATTAGAATTAACTTCATTTATTTGTTAACTATTACTTCTAAAAGTGTATGATTTATTTTGTCCAGGGCAAAATGTAACAATATTGAATAATAAATTTTTTACGAAATAATTGAGCATAATTTTTATTATTTCCTATTTTCTTTATTGAAATACTTTGAAATGCTTCGATTTTCCTGTATCTAATAATTTATTTGCTTGTTAAAAGAATAGTTAACAAATTCAATTTGTTGAAAGGTGTATGATTTATTTTGTCCAGTACTGTACGAGTATATCCTCCATTTCATTCATTCGTTCATACGTTGAGATTTACAGGGGCGAAGTGACAATTTTAGACATAATTTAATCGATTTCGGAAATTTAATATTGCAATTGAGATTTATCGCGTGTCGCGACGTATCAATGGGAGGATATTCGCGTGAAAATATAATTAAGAAATTATCTCTTTTTATTTTTGATTCTATCTTTCGATTGATAAAACCAATTTTTATTGAAATTTAATGCTTTCTCTTTTCTTTCAGATTCACAATTCCACTAAACGGGCGGTCGTTCTTTCTTCTGTGAATCTCATGAGCACAGGACGCTACAGATGCGAGGTTTCGGCGGAGGCGCCGTCCTTCCAGACCGTTTCCGACCATTCGGATATGGAAGTGGTCGGTAAGGAGCATCAAAGCAGATTCGTATTAATTAAGAGTTTTATCTTTCAAAGGAATCGCGCAATAACGACAATCCAGCCTCCGCAAACTTGGCGATATTGTTACGTCGTTGATTTATACCCGCGAAGATGCTTCGCTTCTCTTCTTCTTGGCTGATTCTCATTATCCGAGCGAATGTTGTTGCTATCGCGATCGCGACCGAGGAAAAAAGAAAGAAAGAAAATTGTGCTGACTAATCGTAATTTTATTCATGTCCGAGGTAAAATCAAATCTTAAAGAAAGATTTATCTCCGTGAAATGTGACTCGGGGACGGTTTAATTCTGAGACAAAGATTTATATACGTGTCATTTAACGAAAGGATTTCGGTTTCGTGCTTAAGAAAAGGAGAAGAGATTTCCCGCCGAGGATTAGGAATTTTAACGGCCTCGAGGATTTTATAAGCCACTTAACGCGCGGGGAATTAAAACGAATCGCAGTTCCGATAGCTCTGAAAGAGTTAATTACGTCGCGTTAATTTTAATCTGCGAGGAAGAACATTATCCGCTCTCTCCTCGCATATCGACCTATATGACTTTGTGACGAATCACTGACAATTTATCGTGACAGTAATATCGCGTCTGTGTAACTTTCGACCCTCCTCTCGCCGTTTCTAAACGTTTTCCGTTAATTCTATCTTATTATTGTCATGTGCTCCAGAAATGAAGTATCTGCTTTCAACGCGGATTTTCATTGACAAACTTCAAATCGATTCGCTTAATTGCATCACATAATTTTCTAAATCGCGGCATTAAATTTATCGACGAGAAATTTATTTAAGATTCCTTCATCTTTCCGATCATTTCTAACTCGAGGATTATCAATATTGCCCGCGCAGTACTCTTTACCAAATTGAACTCTTGATTGATATATCGTACGAGATATCGATCGGGAGAATTTTCAGCAATTGGGGCTCGGGAATCCCTTAAGTCTAAATAAGATACGCCTCTGTTTTTCCTCGTCCAATTTTTTTAATCCACCAGCATTTATTCCCTTTGCCAAGCGAGAAAATCTCAATCGCTCGGTTTTTGCGTCAGCCAGCCGGTCGCCACAAATTTATCTCTACATCGATATATGATATAATATCGTTAGCACGCGTGTGTAGACATGCATATATAGTTGAATGTGTCATATATCGACTACACAATGATTACAGCGAAGTGTTACTCCATTAAAATTTCCGCACCGGTAAGCGTAAACAAGTTAAGCTCGCCGCAACAAAATTACGGTCAAGCGATATTGCGTTAAAATATTCGAGCGGGCGCCGCGCGAGTTAAAAGCGTTTTCGTCGTCGCTCAAATTGATCGAGAGAGGCACGAGCGTTATTTTTTTTCCCCTCGCGATAAGCGACACGAGTCTCACGAGAGCGTTTCCGGTATTTCCAGCACTGCCGGAGGACGAGCCCATCATCACGACGCGATCCGGGAAACATCGTTATCAAGTCGGCGACGTCATGCGGTTCAATTGCACTTCAGCAAAGTCGAAGCCACATGCCATGCTCAGCTGGTTCATCAACGGGGACCTTGTGAGTGCTCCAGACGCGCAGCTTCTCTCTCTCTCTCTCTCTCTTTCTCTACTTGCGTACCGCAACGTCTTACGGGTCGGAAGCGCAACTTCGTGGCGACACGCGTCACCGACGTCCGAGATAAGCCGTGATCTCGGCAAAATCCGTCTCGAGTGGTCTATCTAGGGATTCGCATGCGCTTATGCGAAGTACGATTGAAAGAGAGACAAACGAAGAGTAACAGGAAGAAATCTTATCTACCAATTCTCCGATCAATTGATATTAATAGCAAATAAGTAGTATAATACGTATAATATTTATAATTTAAATTTATCTGAATTTTTCATAGAGTTCTTCTATTTTTATAAATTTATCTGAACTTTTCCTAAAGAGAATTTCATTTTAATTTATCAAGTTTTGAAAATGTTTAATTTCTGAAAAGTTAGATTCTTCAATTTCTTTCTGCAAGATTAAAAATTAAAAATTTCCAACACTGAATACATGATATTATTGACATTTTAATTAATATTCTGCTGGAGTAAAATCTAAACAGACTGTCTATTAAATTGGTCCAAGGACTGACGTTAATGTTATATATCGTTAGAGTCCTACATCGTAAGTGACAAAGTTGAATCTTCATGTCTATCTTAATAAGCAGACTTCTTCCTCGTAATATATCATATTTTACCATCATTGTGACACATGAAGTTCCGTAAAAGCGCGCTTTGATATTACTGTACGACAGGGAAAAGAGAGCCGTAACAATTTGCTCTCTCTCTCTCTTTCTCTTAAACACTGTTAAAAGTTTCCATCGCCGCAATAAGCCGCGGTAAATTTTGCTTCTGCGCGAAAATAACGCGTCTCTGCAACCCACCGGTAACGTTAATGTCTCGTTGACCCGCGATTACGCGCTAACAAAGCTCGAGAATTAATTTTACAAAGTGCACTCTTTGGCGTGCTGCAACTTTTTCATTTTTCATACGAACAAATAATTGGTCCTTGGATAATTAATCTTCGGTTGCCAACGGACGCTCGCAAAATTGCCTCATTAGTGTTTCAGCGTTCGCGTTAGTTCACGGCTTATTAAAATTGGATTACGTTTAATCAATATTCGAATCGATAATCTTACGATTAAAAGATAATCTCTTCATTTGTAATATGCGGAGCTGCAAACGCGTTGCAAATTATAGCGTAGGTTAATGCGTCAAAATTCTTGGCTCATTAAGATAAATATACAATTCGCAATGTGAGAAATATTATGATGCGAAAGAAGTAGAACATTGAATTATGCCATTATTATGATTGGAATACGTTATATTGTTAGAGGACTTTTTAATTTTTGTTGCAAACCTTATAATAAAATGTAACGAGAGAGAAATAGTAATTTTCCGCTATTAAAAGTTTATGTAGTGCTCTCAGGGAGCTCGCGGGTCAAGAGTCAATTTTCCAAGAACGAAGCAGATTAGATAGATAATGTGGTATTTAATTTGCGAAGATTATTACATTTTGGTAAAAAAGAGAGGAAGAATATATTTCAAGAATATTAATGTATAATCGTGACTTCGCGCATTTGGAAAGTATCGCTCATTTGTTCTCCTTATTAATCCTTTTTTCGGTCATCAAGATTATTAAATGAAACAGTATCTTCTTTCGATTAAACTTTTTTCAGCTTCTCCTTTGTCCCATTGAATAAAACATTCTGTTTCAAATTCGCAAATGATCTCTCCAACGTGTCTACTTTTCCAGAACATTAAATGTGCGAATTTTAGAAAGTTATCAGTGTAACTCGTAAAGGATTAAACGGCGAGAGAGCGAGGACGACGACGTTCATGTATATTTCCGGCGGAGAGAATGTCATCGTCATCGCCATCGCCCATCGTCATCGTTCAAGCTAAGAGAGAATATATACGCCCATTTTCCCGCTTTTCGATTAGGTTGAAGCGCAGTTCTTGAAGCCGCTCTTAACCGACGTAGACCAGGACGGTTTAGAGACCGCCACGCTCGGTCTAGAGTTCCGTCTGCGCTCGAAACACTTCAAGAAGGGAGACTTGAAGATCAAATGCCTGGCGAAGATATATACTCTATATTGGAAATCGAATGAGCTCAGCATAGAGGGTGAGAGGCCCCTGAAGATACCGGTAATGGAGAGTAGGGAGACAAGGGCGCAAGGGCACACGCACGCCGAGCATATCCTAGGTAAGAGAAAAAAAGAGAAATCTCTCCCAACCAGCCCTTGACTACGAATAGATGACGTAGCAGGCCGAGACGTCTACCCTACCGCATTTCTTTATCGTGTTTTTTCGAGTTTGCTGCCCTTTATTAACTTTATAAGAAAAAACTACCGATAAAAAAATCTCAGATTAAAAATATATTATTCCGAGAAAAATAATTTATATTTAGATATATATCCTTTCTAAGAATGATTTAAAAACGATGAATAAAAAATTATAGAAATCGCGAATAAAAATTGATAAAAAATTAAATAAAATTAAATTAATAACTTAAATAAAATAAATAATAAAAGCAAACGCAAGGTTCATACTTACTCTATTTTATTCGAATGTCTTAATATTTTTTAAAGCAACGTAGTCGCAGATATTGACTCTTCGAATGACATTTTATTTACATCAATCAGAAGGATTGAGAGGAGGGTCTATCTCAAAGAATCATTATCCGTCTCTGATATAGAGGGGGATAAGGATCGCTTTTCAAGCCGCGAAAAAAAACTGACGTTTTTCATGGTTCACATCATTAATATTGATTACAAATCTGCAAAAAATATAAGCTTTGTGGCTATGTGAGAGGAGCTTAACAGCCGAAATAATGGATCCAGCCTTTTCGATGTTAACAACTGGAAGCTCTCTGACGCACGATTAGTTTAGCAACTCAACGTCGTTTTCCTCCCCTCAATACGTTGCTTTAGTTTCGTCTAACATAAGCCAAAGCACAAACACGTAACTCGTTTTACGCGAAACATGTCTCGATGACAGGCCCTTCCTTTAACGAAACAGAAAGGAATTTTGAAAATTGCCGAATCGCACCGACGTGTAAGCGATCAAGAGAGATTAGGAATCCAATTTCGCGGACACGAAATCTCTGTCGATCCCTCTTAATTCAGCCATCCCTTATAGCTTGAGCAACAAATTGCTTTAGCTAAACTCGCTTAACTAGGCTTCAGTTCCCGCTCGCGCAAAGTTTAAGCTTTGAATTTTTCCCGAATATATATGAATTTGATATCTCTTTCTCTCTCTTTCTTTCTTGGAAAACGACTTTTATATCTATTTCTTTCTCTTTTTTCAGCGAGCGGAAGTGTAACGCTGGCACGACCGTGCGTCGTTCTCGTGATCATGGGATTACTGATGCTACGGTAAGGATCGAGAATACCAATCGCCGCCCTTCATGCTCATCCTCTAGGCCTCGTGGAGAAGCCACTCTCACGATATGACATGATTACGTAATAAATTACCATGTTGTTTATATTTTTTATAATTGCAATTAGAGTGGAGTTAGAAACCACGTAAATAATTGTAGGCAGATGACATACTATCAGTATATTAAACTTTACTCGGATATGCGGAGAACGAAGGAGAGGAGAGGCGAGATTTTAAAGAGATGTAAAAAAACGATAGATTTTTTTGTGTTTTTAAAGGCGATAAGAAACAATCCCCGTAACGTTGCGGCGACTTGGTCGTTTAATTTTTGCGTTATATAAATTATGTATTTCTCATGTATGTAGTGCGCGAAAGACACGACGAACACGCGTTGTCGGTGTATATTTATGGAAAAGGTACGCATGTCACAAGTCGGTCGTTTATCATGAAACTTCAGAGTCGCGATTCTTTATATCGCTTGCGGCGACTCGTGCGTAAAGTGCATAAATCGATTTCTTTGAGTGCATACGCACGTTACACATGTGCTTCATCGGAATATTCGCTGTGCAACCAGCACGTATACGCCGTGCAAACCGAGAACGTGACGAATCTGCATTTTATCGAATTTTCATTAACTACCCTGCGTTCGAATGATAGAGACGGTAGAGTACAAGTGCGCTTTATTCGATTTGCAAGACAATGTAATACATTAACAATATAATATGTTCGAAAAATTCTTTCCCCAGACATTCAAATAGGTCGAGATATAATTCACGATACTTGAAAATATTTCGCTCGTTATTTTCAAGCTAATTCTGTTAAGTACTTATCAAATATTTGTTTAAGAGATTTAAAAATCTTTGAAAATATGTCCAGAAAATGTTTTATCTTTTATTTAATGAGATTAATTATCAATGCCGTACACAGCGAGGTGTTTAGTTAAGAAAACGAGGACGACGTGCTGTAGTTATACGCCGCTCCCCGCTCCCCGCGCGTGTATGCCCGTGTAAATCAATAAAATAAACACGAATCGGCCTAGCGCATACATACCGAGAAGAGGCAGTTGAGACGCGGCGCAAACAAATCGTCGTTTCTGTTCGCCACTATTCGTAGCCCTTAACGATCTAGTCGCTATTAATCGTGCGTTAACAAGATAATGTCCTAGGAATAATTGTACATGTGTGACTTGTAGCGTGCGTTTACCAAAGATTTTTCGGACTTTTCACGCTAAGCATTCCTAATTGTTAATTATCACGGTGGCACGGTATGTAGAGAGAAATTTCGTAAGAGTAAAACTGCCACATTCTTTATCTACGATAGCATGTAAGAGCACACTCTTGTAAATATGTACATATTATATAGATAAAATTATAAGCCGAAAGATACATATATATACTTGTCTTTAATTTAATGTTTCAAAAGTAAAATGCGCGATGTGAAATATCGATTTACGAAAATAAAGTCATTAAATTCCAATCTGAGGTTCTATAAGAGGTATTTTCTTTTAATAAATTGCGTATATAAGTTTCTCTCTCTCTCTCGAAAATATATTGTACATCAATTTAAAATAAAATCCTAATGAAAGACATCGAGAGAACACTTGAATATTTAATATCTTCGATAAAAGATGATCAGAATAAAGTATACTTATCCAATCCACTTTTATTCCGAATATCTTACATGTGTCCCGATTAATTATAAAAATTATCGCTAAATATTAAAGATAAAGTATATATGTCTATAAAATGTATAATTCTTGTAACTTTTTTTCTTTCCTTAATCGATAAAACGCTTTCAAAACGAAATTGTTAAATCTTTAAAATCTTTAAAACGCAATTATATGATTAAAATATTCGTTACAAGATATTCGCGTTAGAAAGACAGCGTTCCGTAAAGAAAGGATGTTTCTTCGTGTGAACGTTAGGCAATTTAGTCGGAGACTTGGCGAAAAACTTCAAAATTGTCTGCTCGTTGGGCATCTCCGTTTCCTCCGTTTCTTCCCATTCTACTGCCAGTGCTTTCGATTCGAGAATCTGCTCAGCGGTGGACCAGCTGAATCGAACGAGTTGCGGAAAACCGAATACTGCGTCTACATTCTCGGACAGCCAGTTTTTAGTCACCGGATCGGTGGGATAGCCGCTACCGTATTCCGTCCCAATGCTGTCACCCTCGCGAAATCGCCACGCTCGTAACGCGTGATCTCGCGATACCTTGGCACATATACTGGCCGCGCTGACGATCGGATAAGTCGCGTCGGCTTTCTTTGCCACGACTATCTTTACGCCGGGAAATACACCCTTCAGTCGCGCTTGATAAGACTCTGGTTTACCAACGGTGTCCACGTAAATCTCGGCGACGTTCACCCCGGCTTCAATGGCCCCTTGTATTAGTTTGATGGCCGAGACCATGGAGACCTCGTTGAGCGAGACTTTGGTACGACGATACATGCTGTTGGCGATAACGTTCGGCGATATCGCCTCGATTGCCCAGCCTATACTGTCCTTATGTTTGCAGATATCATCGAATATCTCATCGCGCTTCTTTTCCGTAAGACTTTTGGAATCGGCGCAGCCTAGATCGACGAGTAACTGCTTCCGCGACAGCGGAGCATACGAGATCCCATAAACCATCGGACCTAAAACCGGACCGCGACCCGCCTCGTCCACCCCAAGCTGGCACGGCTCGTCCCTACAGATTTGCGGAACCTACGATGAATCAGTCACGCAATTGCTTTGATGTTTTATTCTGTAATTTTCGTTTCTCCTTTATAATATCAATTGTTAGTATGTTAAAATTGTTCTGTGATTATGTTCCGCATGATGCTTCTCTCTTCTATGCTATTCCTCTAATAATATATTTTATTTCCAATATTGTTGATAATTATATTGTTTGTATATTAATTATGTTTATATATACATTATATATATATATATATATATATATATATATATATATATATATTAATCATGTGTTTGTATAATTTATTATGTTTGTTAAAAGAAGCAAATATTAATTCAAAAATATAATTTTCTTGTACGATATGGATATTTAATTAATAAAATATAAGATTGTTCATTAAAAAATTAAATTGTCAAGGAAAATGTCTAAAGTTATTTGTTACAATAGCAAAAATATGTTCATATTTATATTTGACGCATACAAAGCTATCAAATGTACACATCCCAGACAGCAGAATGACGTCAATGACATCTTAATAACGGTTTAATGACGTCATGATATATCATTAAAACGTCTTTAAACGTCATCTTGCTACCTGGACAGATATACATTGTATTTTTGCATCAGAATATTCTCATATTACCTTATTCGTACAAATATTTCTCATATTATAAAACTATTTACCTCTGAAAAGTGAACCTTATTAATGCTGTGGTTGCTCTGCTCGAAAAACGGATTTAAATCCTCCTTGCAAGCGATGACATTAACTGTCTCTTCACGCGGAATTTCTTCTCTTCCTTGATTATTCTCTTCCGTCTCATTTTCGTCTTTTTCATCCATTTTTATGGCTTGACACTCGCGTAAATACTCGATTGAAAATATAACATAACCTGAATTCTAATTTGACACAAGACTTACCGCCAAAACGCACGTTCGCGATACTCTCGAATATGGCATTGATTAGATTTGCACTATACACTTGATCCTACGAAAATTTTGGAACCGTTTGATTGGCCAATCAGAGTAAAGGAATCTTTATCCATTTCGTCCCAATTAGCCAATCAAAAGCTTCGAATATATAAATGAAGCGCGGTGCACCCAAATTATGTTTCGAATCTGTAACACACTAGCAGCTGTTAAGACGACATCTTTTGTCTTCAATGAAGAATTAAAAAAGTTACTAGATAAACACATCCCTCTTTTCTGATTCGTATTCAATGACGTATTGCGTAACCTCAATAATAGGTCTATTTTTTTCAGCTGCACTGCTGCACTAGTGCAATAAGGTAGAAAGAGACAAACATACTTTGTTTCACTCTAATTGCACTAGTGCAGCAGTGCAGCTGAAAAAAACAGACCCAATAAGTTGTAAATAGTTGTAACATTTTTAAACATAATAAATACAGCTTAATAAGGTTCCTTTTACTTTAATTACTATAATAAATAACTGTTGTAAATTTTTTGCGTATAATGCTAGAATTATTGCCGAAGCGTACAATATTGCAACTGACGTCGAGGATTCGTAGTCGCATTAGATGTTACGGATCAAGTCAGTCTAGCGATTTCGTAAAAGTTGTTGAAGTTGCACCACGAGATGGATTGCAAAACGAAAGGAAGGTGGTGCCTACTCAAATCAAGGTCGATTTCATTGATAAACTGTCAACGACCGGATTGAGGAATATTGAAGTTACGAGTTTTGTATCTCCGAAATGGGTTCCTCAGATGGCAGACAACGCACAGGTTTTTCGACAGATTGAGAAAAGACACGGTATATCCTATCCTGTATTAGTACCAAATCTGAAAGGCTTGGAGAGTGCTATCGCGGCAGGTGTAGAAGAAATTGCAGTGTTTGGCACAGCATCGGAAGCTTTTTCCAAGGCGAATACTAATTGTTCCATTGAAGAGAGCGTAAAAAATTTTAAAGTTGTTATCGAGGAGGCGAAGAAGCATGATATCAGAATCCGTGGCTATGTATCCTGTATTGTTGATTGTCCTTATGAAGGAGAGACCGAACCGGCCATCACAGCACATTTGGCTTCAACAATGTTGGATTGCGGATGTTATGAAGTTTCTTTGGGTGATACTATAGGCACAGGATTACCTAAGAAAATTGAACGTGTGTTGAATGAGTTGCGGCATATTGCTTGGAATAACATGAGTTATTATGCACTACACTGTCACGATACATATGGACAGGCTCTGGTAAACATATATGCAGGTCTTGAAAATGATGTTAGAGTCTTTGATTCTTCGGTTGCTGGACTTGGCGGATGTCCATATGCTGCAGGTGCTTCAGGAAATGTCGCTACAGAGGATTTATTATACTTTTTACACGGACAAGGATTAGAGACTGGCATAGACTTGAATAAAATAGTAGAAATTGGTGATTTCATTAGCAAACAACTCAACAGAACAAATCAATCAAAGACTGGAGTAGCTATGCTTGCTAAAATAAATCGTCAAAAATGTTAGCCACGCAATATTTAAGTCTGACAGAGTGCTAGAAAAATCAAAGAGATAATTTTACATTCCAAAAATATTAAATTATTGTATGTACACATATGTTTATGTGTATATATTCCTATTTTTATCAATAGTTTTTATATATAAATGGAATAATATATAATTATTCCAATTTTTTAATATTAAAATATGATTGTATATATACATAATTGACTTATAGTTTTTAAAATATATTGTATATCTTTTAGTATTTGATATCTGCTCAATTTTGTGTACAAAAAACATAACTTTATAAATTTTTTACAATAAAGGAGATTATTAATAATTACGTATATTATACTTATTTTATATTTAAGTTATGTTTCTTTTATAATTAAATTTTTAATTTGTACCTCAACATATAATCTTTTCCTAAAATTCTAAAAATTGTGTCTCAAATACACATTGTATATCATGCAAAAAAAATATAAAATAACTGACGGAAATATATATGTATAACTCCATTTCTATTGTTATCAATTATGTTTATTACTTCTTATTTTTCTTGAGAGAACGTACAGCGGACTTTGCAATTTATGCAACTACCCGCGTAATATCTTGTCGAGGTACTGACAATTCACAAATACGATGGTATATGCACGATTCTGATAATAATTTTATCGATAGTCGAAAAATGAGAATTGACTAGTTAATTCTATATTTTAACATGCATATAGATGGCGATATTAAAGGTTTTACCAGAGAGAAGACTGAGAGGTGTCATGGCCCGCTTTTAGGTCCCTGAAAACGATACGCCCTCTGTTAATCTAAAAAACGTGGACATGAACTACAAAGCCAAAGTCCACGAAAGTTCTCAGAGAGTAACATATATGTGCACAATTTCCGATTCTGTTCCGTGCTATGTAAAAAATGCCTGTAGTACACGAAATGCCATCAGTGCTGTATAGCAAAACGCATATGTATATAAATATAAATAAATTTTTAATTTTAATTTTTTAAATAAATTTTGTGGTCCTCTCTCTCTCCCTTTCTCTCTCTCTCTACACATACACAAATAAACACACACACACATAATATATATATGTATATATAGTATAACGCTACAACTTTATTCTGAAATATCTGCGTTATGTTTAGAAATATATATATATATATATATATATATATATATATATATATTCAATTTAAAACATTACATGAAATACACGCGCTGGAATGATGACCTCTTTACAAATCATGTTCTCCTAATAACGCAAGCGTGAAAATTTTCGAAAATTCGTTTCTTATTATTTTATATTATCAGGAGAATATATTTTGCGAGAAGGTCGATAATGCGTTGATGACCTCTTTACAAATCATGTTCTCCTAATAACGCAAGCGTGAAAATTTTCGAAAATTCGTTTCTTATTATTTTATATTATCAGGAGAATATATTTTGCGAGGAGGTCGATGATGCGTTGATGACCTCTTTACAAATCATGTTCTCCTAATAACGCAAGCGCGAAAATTTTCGAAAATCCGTTTCTTATTATTTTATATTATCAGGAGAATATATTTTGCGAGGAGGTCGATGATGCGTTGATGATCTCTTTACAAATCATGTTCTCCTAATAACGCAAGCGCGAAAATTTTCGAAAATTCGTTTCTTATAATTTATATTATCAGGAGAATATATTGTGCGAGGAGGTCGATGATGCGTTGATGACCTCTTTACAAATCATGTTCTCCTAATAACGCAAGCGTGAAAATTTTCGAAAATTCGTTTCTTATTATTTTATATTATCAGGAGAATATATTTTGCGAGGAGGTCGATGATGCGTTGATGACCTCTTTACAAATCATGTTCTCCTAATAACGCAAGCGTGAAAATTTTCGAAAATTCGTTTCTTAATATTTTATATTATCAGGAGAATATATTTTGCGAGGAGGTCGATGATGCGTTGATGACCTCTTTACAAATCATGTTCTCCTAATAACGTAAGTGCGAAAATTTTCGAAAATTCGTTTCTTATAATTTATATTATCAGGAGAATATATTTTGCGAGGAGGTCGATGATGCGTTGATGACCTCTTTACAAATCATGTTCTCCTAATAACGCAAGCGCGAAAATTTTCGAAAATTGATTTCTTATAATTTATATTATCAGGAGAATATATTGTGCGAGGAGGTCGATGATGCGTTGATGACCTCTTTACAAATCATGTTCTCCTAATAACGCAAGCGTGAAAATTTTCGAAAATTCGTTTCTTATTATTTTATATTATCAGGAGAATATATTTTGCGAGGAGGTCGATGATGCGTTGATGACCTCTTTACAAATCATGTTCTCCTAATAACCAAGGTGAAAATTTTCGAAAATTCGTTTCTTATATTTATATTATCAGGAGAATATATTTTGCGAGGAGGTCGATGATGCGTTGATGACCTCTTTACAAATCATGTTCTCCTAATAACGCAAGCGCGAAAATTTTGAAAATTCGTTTCTTATTATTTTATATTATCAGGAGAATATATTTTGCGAGGAGGTCGATGATGCGTTGATGACCTCTTTACAAATCATGTTCTCCTAATAACGCAAGCGCGAAAATTTTCGAAAATTCGTTTCTTATATTTTATATTATCAGGAGAATATATTTTGCGAGGAGGTCGATGATGCGTTGATGACCTCTTTACAAATCATGTTCTCCTAATAACGCAAGTGCGAAAATTTTCGAAAATTCGTTCTTATAATTTATATTATCAGGAGAATATATTTTGCGAGGAGGTCGATGATGCGTTGATGACCTCTTTACAAATTATGTTCTCCTAATAACGCAAGCGCGAAAATGTTCGAAAATTAGTTTCTTATAATTTATATTATCAGGAGAATATATTGTGCGAGGAGGTCGAAGATGCGTTGATGACCTCTTTACAAATCATGTTCTCCTAATAACGCAAACGTGAAAATTTTCGAAAATTCGTTTCTTATATTTATATGATCAGGAGAATATATTTTGCGAGGAGGTCAATGATGCGTTGATGACTTCTTTACAAATCATGTTCTCCTAATAACGCAAGCGCGAAAATTTTCGAAAATTCGTTTCTTATAATTTATATTATCAGGAGAATATATTGTGCGAGGAGGTCGATGATGCGTTGATGACCTCTTTACAAATCCTGTTCTCCTAATAATGCAAACGTGAAAATTTTCGAAAATTCGTTTCTTATATTTATATATCAGGAGAATATATTTGCGAGGAGGTCGATGATGCGTTGATGACCTCTTTACAAATCATGTTCTCCTAATAACGCAAGCGTGAAAATTTTCGAAAATTCGTTTCTTATTTTTATATTATCAGGAGAATATATTTTGCGAGGAGGTCGATGATGCGTTGATGACCTCTTTACAAATCATGTTCTTCTAATAACGCAAGCGTGAAAATTTTCGAAAATTCGTTTCTTATTATTTTATATTATCAGGAGAATATATTTTGCGAGGAGGTCGAAGATGCGTTGATGACCTCTTTACAAATCATGTTCTCCTAATAACGCAAGCATGAAAATTTTCGAAAATTCGTTTCTTATTATTTTATATTATCAGGAGAATATATTTTGCGAGGAGGTCGAAGATGCGTTGATGACCTCTTTACAAATCATGTTCTCCTAATAACGCAAGCGTGAAAATTTTCGAAAATTCGTTTCTTATTATTTTATATTATCAGGAGAATATATTTTGCGAGGAGGTCGATAATGCGTTGATGACCTCTTTACAAATCATGTTCTCCTAATAACGCAAGCATCAAAATTTTCGAAAATTCGTTTCTTATTATTTTATATTATCAGGAGAATATATTTTGCGAGGAGGTCGATGATGCGTTGATGACCTCTTTACAAATCATGTTCTCCTAATAACACAAGCGTGAAAATTTTCGAAAATTCGTTTCTTAATATTTTATATTATCAGGAGAATATATTTTGCGAGGAGGTCGATGATGCGTTGATGACCTCTTTACAAATCATGTTCTCCTAATAACGCAAGTGCGAAAATTTTCGAAAATTCGTTTCTTATAATTTATATTATCAGGAGAATATATTTTGCGAGGAGGTCGATGATGCGTTGATGACCTCTTTACAAATCATGTTCTCCTAATAACGCAAGCGCGAAAATTTTCGAAAATTGATTTCTTATAATTTATATTATCAGGAGAATATATTGTGCGAGGAGGTCGATGATGCGTTGATGACCTCTTTACAAATCATGTTCTCCTAATAACGCAAACGTGAAAATTTTCGAAAATTCGTTTCTTATAATTTATATGATCAGGAGAATATATTTTGCGAGGAGGTCAATGATGCGTTGGTGACCTCTTGACAAATCATGTTCTCCTAATAACGCAAGCATGAAAATTTTCGATAATTTGTTTCTTATTATTTTATATTATCAGGAGAATATATTGTGCGAGGAGGTCGATGATGCGTTGATGACCTCTTTACAAATCATGTTCTCCTAATAACGCAAGCGTGAAAATTTCGAAAATTCGTTTCTTATTATTTTATATTATCAGGAGAATATATTTTGCGAGGAGGTCGAAGATGCGTTGATGACCTCTTTACAAATCATGTTCTCCTAATAACGCAAGCGTGAAAATTTTAGAAAATTCGTTTCTTATTATTTTATATTATCAGGAGAATATATTTTGCGAGGAGGTCGATGATGCGTTGATGACCTCTTTACAAATCATGTTCTCCTAATAACGCAAGCGCGAAAATTTTCGAAAATTCGTTTCTTATAATTTATATTATCAGGAGAATATATTGTGCGAGGAGGTCGATGATGCGTTGATGACCTCTTTACAAATCCTGTTCTCCTAATAACGCAAGCGTGAAAATTTTCGAAAATTCGTTTCTTATTATTTTATATTATCAGGAGAATATATTTTGCGAGGAGGTCGATGATGCGTTGATGACCTCTTTACAAATCATGTTCTTCTAATAACGCAAGCGTGAAAATTTTCGAAAATTCGTTTCTTATTATTTTATATTATCAGGAGAATATATTTTGCGAGGAGGTCGAAGATGCGTTGATGACCTCTTTACAAATCATGTTCTCCTAATAACGCAAGCATGAAAATTTTCGAAAATTCGTTTCTTATTATTTTATATTATCAGGAGAATATATTTTGCGAGGAGGTCGAAGATGCGTTGATGACCTCTTTACAAATCATGTTCTCCTAATAACGCAAGCGTGAAAATTTTCGAAAATTCGTTTCTTATTATTTTATATTATCAGGAGAATATATTTTGCGAGGAGGTCGATAATGCGTTGATGACCTCTTTACAAATCATGTTCTCCTAATAACGCAAGCATCAAAATTTTCGAAAATTCGTTTCTTATTATTTTATATTATCAGGAGAATATATTTTGCGAGGAGGTCGATGATGCGTTGATGACCTCTTTACAAATCATGTTCTCCTAATAACACAAGCGTGAAAATTTTCGAAAATTCGTTTCTTAATATTTTATATTATCAGGAGAATATATTTTGCGAGGAGGTCGATGATGCGTTGATGACCTCTTTACAAATCATGTTCTCCTAATAACGCAAGTGCGAAAATTTTCGAAAATTCGTTTCTTATAATTTATATTATCAGGAGAATATATTTTGCGAGGAGGTCGATGATGCGTTGATGACCTCTTTACAAATCATGTTCTCCTAATAACGCAAGCGCGAAAATTTTCGAAAATTAGTTTCTTATAATTTATATTATCAGGAGAATATATTGTGCGAGGAGGTCGATGATGCGTTGATGACCTCTTTACAAATCATGTTCTCCTAATAACGCAAACGTGAAAATTTTCGAAAATTCGTTTCTTATAATTTATATGATCAGGAGAATATATTTTGCGAGGAGGTCAATGATGCGTTGGTGACCTCTTGACAAATCATGTTCTCCTAATAACGCAAGCATGAAAATTTTCGATAATTTGTTTCTTATTATTTTATATTATCAGGAGAATATATTGTGCGAGGAGGTCGATGATGCGTTGATGACCTCTTTACAAATCATGTTCTCCTAATAACGCAAGCGTGAAAATTTTCGAAAATTCGTTTCTTATTATTTTATATTATCAGGAGAATATATTTTGCGAGGAGGTCGAAGATGCGTTGATGACCTCTTTACAAATCATGTTCTCCTAATAACGCAAGCGTGAAAATTTTCGAAAATTCGTTTCTTATTATTTTATATTATCAGGAGAATATATTTTGCGAGGAGGTCGATAATGCGTTGATGACCTCTTTACAAATCATGTTCTCCTAATAACGCAAGCGTGAAAATTTTCGAAAATTCGTTTCTTATTATTTTATATTATCTGGAGAATATATTTTACGAGAAGATCGATGATGCGTTGATGACCTCTTTACAAATCATGTTCTCCTAATAACGCAACGTGAAAATTTTCGAAAATTCGTTTCTTATTATTTTATATTATCAGGAGAATATATTTTGCGAGGAGGTCGATGATGCGTTGATGACCTCTTTACAAATCATGTTCTCCTAATAACGCAAGCGTGAAAATTTTCGAAAATTCGTTTCTTATTATTTTATATTATCAGGAGAATATATTTTACGAGGAGGTCGATAATGCGTTGATGATCTCTTTACAAATCATGTTCTCCTAATAACGCATTTAAAAAAAAAAAAAAAAAAAAAAAAAAATTCGCGAACAATTAATGTTCGAAATAATTTACGCATTGCCATCCGCGTTTTGTGGGCTCTTAATGCTCTTTACTTAATTATCATGTTGATAATACATAGAGCCGTATTATTTACCAATTTATTTTGAAAAATATTTATTTCATCTTTGAATATTACAGTATCTGTCGCGATTGAATAATTTATTTATTATCAATTTACACACATAAGTATTTAATTGTTATATAGCACTGGTGCTACCGGCATTTCGTGCACATAGTACGGAACAAAACCAGAAATTGTGCAATTATATATTACCCTCTGAGAACATTCATGGACTCTGACTTTGTAGTTCATGTCCATGTTTTGAATGTCCATAGAGGGAGTATCACTTTTCGGGTCACTCCATAGCTTGGACATGAACCATAGCTCAGACACGAACCATGTATTATTATCGACTGTAATGGATGTAGTTGACGTCCACTTTGTCAGGGAGCGCATTAGGACAATATACCCGTTAAAGCGAGGTGGCCGCTCTCAGGTTTCTCTCTGGTAGTTCCTATCCGCCATGAGTCCTCCATGATGATTTAATGAATAATTCATTGTTTTATTTCTGTTGACAGTGTCAGTTCACCCAGTCAAAATATTTTTCAGTCTTCCACAATATTACAGAGTGATCGTTAGACAGAGAATGTTTTGAATAGTATTTAAAATTGTTTTCTTTAAGAGAATGCATGCGCCATAAAACATGTATAAGGAGTTTTAAATCATTTCGTTCGCGTACGGTACAGCTTTATCGAGATACAAAAAACTTAAGTATTTGTTTACAACACCTTGTCCTTCTCGCAAGAGACGGTCACAGACAGTGAAAATGAGCTCGGGCTTTATATCAGAGGCCGAACTTGCCGAACAACGACGAATGCGACAAGAGGAATGGGAACGTGTGCGAACTGCTGATCAGCCTTTAGGTTATGCCATGTTTCATCCATGTTTTATGCAGCATATGATCATTTTATAATTGTAGTAGAAATATATATTTTGTTTGTGTAGACATTGAAATTTGTATAACTGTTATTATAACTAGCAATTAAATTTAATGATCTCAACTATTGTGAATGTTTGAGAAATATTTCATCCGTGTGTAACGATTTACAGAAGCTCCAGAGGAGTCTTATGATCCGAGATCATTATACGAGAGATTACAAGAGCAAAAGAATAAAAGAGACTTGGAATATGAAGAAGCGCATAAATTAAGTAAGTAGAAAAATAATATTGAAAAAATAATATTGAATTTATTATGATCAGTGAGTATTACGTAATGTTCTCAAATAAGGTAGCACTGAATATAATAATTTAATCATTTAGTATTGCAAATATATCAATCATTATTTGCAGTAATAAAAAGCTTTTTTATTTCTTACTGTTAATATATTTGTAAAACTATTATTTTTTAATGATCTATAATATATTTCAATATAATTACACATAAATACACACACATAAACACACACGCACACGCATATATTCATCCAAGCATACATACGTACATATATATATGTATGGATATATTGAAGATGTTTGTGAATATAGAAAACAAATTTATTATGTTGTGAGTCTTAATTGTGTTTGAAATACGTCATCATATTTCTACTACATTTAGCCAATATATCCACATAGTATATTTGTATTAAAATTACATGAATAATAAGCTGTCAAAAAGTGTATTTAATAATTTCGTAATCAGTTTGAGTATTTCACACAAGCTTTAATCCTAACGGTTATCTCAATTAACTATTTCACAATTCCAAATTTTAAAAAATGTATATACAATCATAGCATGATAGGAGGATTTGTGTAAAATGAAACATTAATTAATGATTCGTCAATGAAATAAATAATTATAAGCCAACTTTTGCACGTGTTTTTTATATAACATCTTTACTGGATCATTTCTATCATTTGTGAAATTTTTTTCTCTTAAAAATATATCAAATTATATTTATTATATACAAAATTATATGCTAGTTGCTATTAATTGGAATTGTTTTGGTATACATATTAAAAATCCTTATTGTTCTTTGATTGGATTTTAATTCCGTTTAATCATTGTCTGTGAATTGTTACATTTGTTATATCTTGTGTGTGATTATATTGTCTAAAGTCAATTGTGACTGAAAAGTTATCGTGTACATTTCGCGTAAAAAGATATTGAATATTCAATAATAACATAATTATCATACGATTGTTATTATCAATTGTTTCTGTGCATCTCTAATAGATCAAAATTCTCAACAAATATATATTTTTCCGCTAAAAGTGCAACGAGAATGCATGATCATATATTTGCACATCTTTGTTCTGTAATTAATAGCAAGATAGCACCGTTTGCGGGCAACACATATTTTAATATTCGGTATTTTAATCATGTTATAATTATTGCGCGTTTTAATTTTGCCGCTTCATTTTGAAAAGTTGACAGCGCCCTCTCTCTCTCGATCCGTTACTGGTCAGTAGTGACTAGTGGTGTGTCGCGTTCAAAAATCGCTCCGCATTTTTCCGGATTATTGTCGTTTGAAAGTGAATCTCGTGCGCGAAAATTGGTCGCGAGTGTTTTGCGTTATAATTCGTCAACTGTCGCGTGTAATTCGTCGGTATCGGTGATTCTGTTCGTCGCGAATTGACTGAATCTGCGCGTAATCGTCGTCTGCCGAATACTAATTCTCGCCGAGATGCATCGAATATTTGATCATTGTATCAATCGCGCGCGTCCGTATTTTATAATTAACTGCGTCAATTGCATCGTCTGCAATATAATTCGCATGCTATATACATATACTTTAAGTATTTCGAACATTTATTAGATTATTTCAGATTTCTGTTTACATCAATTGCGTGAAGTTTGCTGCTTGTTTTCATCCGTTCCGGCACTTCGAGAATCGCAATATCGCTTCTCGATAGATCCATGGTTTCTTGTAGGAAATATCACTCGTATCGAATCATTAGATTCCTCGCGATTGTTGCCGTCTGAAAAGTAAATCGCGCGTGAAAGGTCGCGAGTGTCTCGCGTAAAGTGTCACTTCAATGGATTGCGGGAAATCATTCCCTAATCTTCTCATGCTTTGATGTCTCCTCGTTCGAACTTCAACGGAAGTGATCGAGAACTGATCCGGTAAATATATATCGTCATTTCGATTGATTTAGAGCGATGATATTCTGGTTTTTTAACAAAAAAAAATAATATTTTTGCTGTTAATTCATGTAAATATTTATTACTAGACGCATAATTGGTGATATCAATCGCAGGTTTATTTCTATGGATTCCGACAAGCCTCATTCGATCTTCGCATGCATCAAAGTCATCAAGATGTCTTCTCGTTGAATTGGAACGGAAGCGACCGTACTGATACCTGATTATCAGGTAAGTACATATCGTCGTTTCGATTGATTCGATGCAACGATTTATTATTATATCTTTTTTAGCAGAAAAATGTTTTTGTTGTTGATTTTATTTTCCAATTTAATAAGAATATTGTACAAATAAATCAATTTTTATATTTACATTTTTTTTATTTATTTGTCTGTATCTGAAAACCATTTTTCTGCTTTTATATCTTTTATTTTATATAAAATGTATCTATGTTTGATATATTTTTCGATAGAGCTTAGTCGATAATAAAGCCAGGTCGATACATTATCATCGACAATCAGTCACATCAAAACGCTTCAATTATCCATTAAATCGTAAAAGTTCCTTACCCAAGGAGCTCGGTAAGAAATCTGTAATAATACTTTACCGACGACAATTCATTCTCGAGATGTCGATTATACATGTACATAAAAAATAAAGTACACAAGTGCATAGTTATTTGCAAATATTTCCAATATGTGTAACACGCTATATTTACAATTTTCTTCTGTTTTTTCATCTTATTTCCTGTTACATTATTCATTTGTGCATTTTGATGTGTTTGAATTTCATTGGCTCTAATAAAAATGAGAAATTATAAAATCTTTTTTTTAACAGAAATTAATTTCCTTTTTCATATTTCTATCACACGCATCTATTACTCGACATGCATTATGATAGCAAATAAATATCAGAGATATTAAAGTTTCAAAACATTAATCTGTCAAATGAAAAAAATCTTTCTCTTCCTTCGAGATGAGCGCTGGTTGTTTTCGCAAGGTCCGTATATTTTTTATTTACATTCAGCATATATATCCATTCGAAGAATTTCTGTTCCTGATTAAGGGTGATAAACTGTCAGTGGAAACTTCATTACGACGATGCAAATAGCATTTATCAAAATTTTCGCGTTGTTTTCTCGCGATTGTTCTCGTATCTTTGATTACGAATATTGCCTTTCTTTCTTATCATTATACGTATACACGCTTTAAGCATCAATGATCGTACATACAAACGAGCGCAAACGAGCGTTTGAGCGATATAGAATAGCCAGAATTGTCATTAAGCCCCGTGGATGGTTTCCCATTGGGACCCGTGGGATCTCCCGGCTGCGAATCGCGCACATTCACGCGACAGCGCGTTTACGCGTGCATGCGTACATACAAAAATATGTGCGTGAATGTGTGCGCGTGTACCTCGATTCCCCTGATTCTTATATCGATCCGACAGATCTGATATCATCCAGCGTTATCCCTTGGGCTCGCACTCATCTGCCGACAAAAGAGCATCTGTGCGAGCCGATCCGTAATGCTCTTGCAACCTGTTCACAAGTAGCTTGCCCTATACGCACAGCATGAATTCATTATCAGTCTAGTATAAACATATTGCCTGGATGGATAGGGCGCTGTCACTCAACGGAACCTAGAGTAAAGTTTCTGATCCGAGTCATTTCTGTGTATCGTAACTGTGATCTTAGCCTATTAGTTTTCGCTACGAATCGCGTCCGCATGATGGAAACAAGGTTGACGAATTCGCTTTGTTCATTTTAGGTGCGAAAAATGCGATACACATATATGTGTGTATATTTTTATATCTATATATTTATTTATTTATATTCTGACATTTCAAAATTTAAAATATAAAGCATTTCGTAAAATATAAAAAATAAAGATGTAAAGTATTAAATGTAAAATATTGATTTTTCGGTAAATACTTTAATACTTTGGCACACGGAATAATATGAGATAAATCGATGACGTAAGAACACATAATTATATACTGATAACATATTCATCGATATGATATATGTAGTATCCAATTTATTCGTTTCGTATCAATCTAAAAAATAGAGCCATTGATATCTATTTAATAGTTTTTTTGTTAAATATATAAGAGGAAAGATTTTATACGTTTGCGGATATTTTCCGTTTGCATCTCGGGAAATTTGATACATTCCATTTCAAAGATAAAAGATTTTTGTGATCTATGTGATTGTTATCTTGAAAAATAAATAATGTCATGGAAGCGATAATCGGGATGAGAACGCGATGAGTTTACAGGCAATAGTGTTTGATGATGCATCGAAATGATTGCTGCAACTTATAATATTTTAGCGATAACACGCGCGCGACGAATCTATTCCAGAAGTTATTTTTATCATAGGCTTATACACGCTTATATATTCTTGTCGGTTGCATCTCTGTGTGCATGTCAGTAGCGCGTGTGTGGTCAATCCTGACCTGGCTGTGTATACAGGACTGCGGTGGCAGGTGACGGCGTGTTGTGAACTGCATAATGAATAATGCGAAAGCCGAACCACAAGCCGTTCCTGTCCTTCCACTTGGCTGACTGAATGACAGCCAGTCTAGGAAAAACCACTGATTGGCTGTACATGCCCCCGACTCTCGTGCTTGTCACATCCTGTGTGTGTCTACCTGCGATCGAAATCAAGCTGCACGACGAGACTTGATTTTCGTATTTCTGGGACACGCTATCGGCGAACTCACGATGGATTTTGCAAAGAAACGCCGCCGACGCTTGTAAAGAGAGACGAGAGATGATGAGAGACAAGTATCAAAAATAACATTGTCCCGTGTCTGAGAAATTAAGCGTTATTTTATACCGCAATTGTTACTTTGAAAAACTGTAAATAGCACAATGAACGAAATTCTAAAAATGTGTCTTTTTAAAAATGATGGAAAGTTTAAGAGTAATGCGTTATTGTTAGTTTAATCAAGAACGAAATAATTTCATGTGAAAAAATAGGTCAGCTATTTGTGTAAATGCCCGAATATTTTCTCTCGTCTTGAGATAATAATTTTAATAAATCTTGATCTAACGTCTAAGTTATTTTTAATATTTGACATTGTTATTCCTTACGATTATCGACGACGTTTTGCAAAATTCATCGTGATTTATCAATAATATATAAGATGTCTCGTCAGAGAAATTAGTCTCGAAAAGATTAAATTTCGTCATGCAGTTTGATTGCGATCGTACGTAATTTTGTTTCCAAGCAAATTATATTTAGCGACTGAAAAATCAGTGATACTATTCCTCTATATTATTTTTCGTAATTTGATGAATTAAAAATCGAAAATTATAATTATAGATATAATATGTAAATTGGAGACACAACTACTTGTTAGAAAACTTAAACTTTTCATATAATAAAGCAATATGCGTCGGTAATATATTAAACTTCTCTTAAACATTATTTTATTCAAAATATTGATATAATATAATAACAATACTTATTTTAATATATAAATATTCAAAAAGGATTGATATGTATTGATTTTAATTAGATATTGAAAATATTTTATTCAGCAGATTAGAAAATGCTCGCGAAATCTACAAAGTATCGGAGAGAAAATTTTTTGCGAGAAAAAAGATTATTCTTATTATTTATATATAACTTTTAATAGCATTATTGGGCATTAGTGATACTTTTCACTGTATATAACGAAGCAATACTCGCACAATAGTTTTAGCGATTTAATTTAGTTTAGATAATATGATAAATCGAAATATTTTTAACGACAAGGAAAATTTTGTTGAAAAAAGATCGATCCTTTGATTTGATATAAAATAATTTTAATAGCAATTATCAAAATTAAATAGTTATTAACTTACGTTATCACTGTATATACGAAGCAATACTCGCACAATAGTTTTAGTAATGGAAATTAGAACTAATATCATTTAACAGAAAATATTGTAATGGAACAATGGGTTGTGAAACGAGTCGACCCTTTGATTGCATTAAAATAGTTTAACACTTAACGTATAATCACATAATTACAAAGTGTATGTATATGTGTTAGTACTTTTCAGGATTCCATTAATCTTCAATATTGCTTTTGAATATTGCTTTATATGTTACTTATAAATCTGTTTATCAAATTATCAATTGCAAATTTTATATTTTATTAAAATCTAAATAAATGCCGATGAAATATGCAGAAAAATCTATGTTACAATTGTATGTAATAATACGAAGTGTAATTATAATATATTCAGTTAAAAAAATAATTTTTTAAATAAATCTAAATTTTGTTGAAAAATAATATTAATGTTTACGCGGGAAAAAGTTGGAATTAAAACTAATTTTGTTTAAAAAATTGTAAAGTATATATTAAATTAATATTTTAGTACATTAATATTTTAATATATTACCGACAAAGAATTAAATATTAAAGTAATTAAAAACTCAATAAGATTACAGAGTATTGTCGACTGCAAAGAGATTGATGCGGATAAGAAGGAAACATTTTTAAATCAGTAAAAAAATAATTAAATGTTTACGAACCGATGCTACAGTCAATTAGCACTACGTCTTTACCACAATATTTTTCTTTCGGTTTATTCGCTAATTATCGTAAAGCAAATCTCCGATAATGAATCCACGAAGTGAAATACGTTTTTCGATATTATCCATCTCGTCTCTTACAATGGTGGATAAAAGTGGTTTTCCGGAAAGCTTTCGCGCAAAATTCTTCTTCCGTATCTGCATACCATCGTGCTTTCCGTTTCCTAGAACACTCCTTGCACGCAAATTGGGGTCAACGTGAATACTTAATGGGAAACTGTGGTCGAGCAGGAGTCAAGGTGCAGTGATGGGAGGCAGAGAGGAAAAGGCCGTTTGCCGTTCGCCCGGCGTGCCAACTTAGTTAGGCTGTCTAATCAAACGACTTCACACGGTACATCGGCGATGATGTATGCAAAATGGTTTCCCTCGTTTACAAGAATTTCTTAAAATCATTCACTTCTCACACGATCAAGATATTCCGCGGTCGCTTCCGACATTTATCGCGAACATGGGTTCAACCGCGCGCGTGTTGACGTGTAATTTGTTATATTACTTTTATTATTCTTTTGTTAGCATAGAAAAGCTTGTTTATAAATGGTACAAGTTATCCATCAATTATATGATTATACTAAAATCAAATTAATTATATAATTTGTTCAGTTATTTAACAATCGAGAAGTATAAAATTATTCAAAAATGA